TTTTTCTGTGCGTCTGTGACCTTTCTCTAACTAAAATGTTGTTGTTACTGTGTTGTTGTTGTTGTTGTTGCTGCTGGTCGTGCTTATTTTGTGTCCATCTCTATCAGTTCATCATCATCATCCCCGAGCTGTGTGACACAGGGGGAACAGTCTATTCCTTCTATCCATTCTATCGTGCACATTTTCACGATCTCATAGATGGAATCTAGCCCAACGCTTATGGCTGCTCTCACCATGTTAGCGTTTCTTTTGGACATTCGTTTTCTCAGTTCATTTGTATCCCACTTCAGTGCCTGTTCAGTTATTCTTTCTCTGCTCTTCAAGATGTGGCCATTTATTGCTGATCTCTTCTTGTCTGCATTTATCTCTCATGTTTGTGTGTATTGTGTACTTGAATAGAATGGATATTGTTATATAAACCCAACATGCTCCAAAGACACACCTGCAGTATGACAGATGAGCGTTACGAGGGGCAGAATGTAACACTGGCCTCTATGCCCAATTCGTGACGCTTAGAAAATAAACATTGGTTCGTTGGTTCGTTGGTTCGTTGGTTGGTCTTACAAATGTTGATACCTAGCCATTGTCCTGTCATTTGTCTGGTTGCTTTTCCGTGTCCACCTAATGCATAGTTGGTGCAGGCGTAAGCGGCTTGTGTGCGTGAGCAATTTCACCAGAAGCCAGAATGTAATCATTATCTTCTTGAAAGCCAGTAATAGAGCCTTGACTTGATCGTGTCTTGTTTTACTTGTATGCCTTAGTGTTCTTGTGCCATTCTTAAGTAAAACATTTCCAAATGAAATCTCATTATTTAGAAAGTTGCCAGAGTGCTGTTGTTAATTTTATGGTAATAACGTCTTCTGCATTCGTCGTCGTAGTAGCAGTAGCCGTAGTAACAGTAGCAGTAGTAATAGTAGTAGCAGTAGCCGTAGTAACAGTAGCAGTAGTAATAGTAGTAGCAGTAGTAGCCGTAGTAACAGTAGCAGTAGTAATAGTAGTAGCAGTAGTAGCCGTAGTAACAGTAGCAGTACTAATAGTCGTAGCCGAAGTAACAGTAGCAGTAGTAATAGTAGTAGCAGTAGTAGCTGAAGTAACAGTAGTAGTACTAATAGTCGTAGCCGAAGTAACAGTAGCAGTAGTAATACCGAAAGTTCCATGTGTGGGTTCCAGGGATCGATTTATGTGTGAGAGTATGTGTGTATATGCGGTTGGAAGGGGGGGGGGAGTTTATATGTCAATAAATTCAAAAAATTAGGCGCAAATCCTTGTAACACATCTGATAGAGAGGAGAAAAACCAATAGTCTGCATTAACAATGTAAAACGGACGTGCACGCAGAACTGAAGATCACAGTCCAGAATTTGAGCGAGAACACAAACGTTAGACTAGAGCTGAAGCAGGTCAACTCTGGGAAGAACAAGACACGAAAAGAACCAGCAGCAACAACAGTAGGTCAGGGAGTATTGGGGTGGTGGTGGCCGAACCGCTGATAGTAGTAGTGCAATCAGTAGTAACAGCAACAGGAGCTGTAGTAGCAGCAGCAACAGCAGCAGCAGCAGCAGCAATAGTATTAGTAGTTGTTTTGACTGTAGTGTCGAGGTCTGTTGCTCAAAAACCACACGAGCACCACAGTAGGAAAGGTCACTGTGCTATCGATTCTTCTTGCAAATTTTGTGATCTGAATTTGCAGAAGTGGAAGAGAACTGGACACCAACCACAGAGATGTGTTTGATATGTAGAATGCGGAGTCCTCCCTGACTTATTATAGTTCCGGCTTTCTAACGTTCATCTTTATAACTCTTCTCGGCCTTCTGTCTCGTGCTCTATCATCGTTCATTCTTCCGTGCTTTAATTCTAAACTCAGTCTCTCTCTCACTCTAACTCTGTGTGCGTCTCTCTCTCTCTCTCGCTCTCTCTCTCTCTCGCTCTCTCTCTCTCTCTCTCTCTCTCTCTCTTATTCCTTCTTTCCTTCTCTCTTACTCACGTTGTCTCTCTCTAACCTCCTCACTCGCCAACTCTCGTGTTTTTTCCTTCTCTCTCCCTCTCTCTCCCTTTCCCCTTTCTCTGTCTCTCACTGCCCCTCTCCTTATCCAGCCTCCAAGTTCCCACGACATTCTCCCCTCCTCGCGACAAAGTCCAAAGAAGATGAGGTGACTTTCGATGCGGGCAATCAGTTGTCTTTGTTAGTTAATTCCTTTCAAAACACGTTGATTGTCCAGGTTACACCAGAGACCGCTTTCACACAGACATGTTATTACCCACATCAGTCGAGGGTCGATGGTTACTGTTGATCACTCCGTGGAGAAGATTGTGACAACCGGTATTATTGAGTGCTTTAAAAACGAAGGTTGGCAGAGGGAGAGATTAGGTATGTTGCATAGTGAACGAAAGTTGCCCAATACGCCCCGATTTGCGTCGGGCTGTTTTGTCAAGCTGGTAAAGTGGAAAAGGCATCATTTGTGTAGAGGGGCACGCATCACTCGTTGAGAACCAAATAATGAGTATATCATAGATTCTTTATCCAGGATATTCGGGTGTGCGGAGTAATGAGCAAGCAAACAGACTGACTACTGCCGCTCCTCTGGACGGTGAGCTACATTTTGATACAGAGGACATAGTGTAGGTTCTGTTGGATCAAGTGGATAGAACAAACAGAGAATCTGTACATTGTGAAACACTAATTCACCGTGGGGTGGGGGCGGGGGGGGGGGGGAGTGTAAAGTTTCAAGAGAGTGTTCAGTGATGAGGGGGAAACAAAGGCGGGATTGTAGTCAGGTTGTAACTGGTACTATTAGCATGTCAACTCTTTGTTGGGTACTGAAGAAGGAGACGGAGCACGCGCGGGAATGTCCCAAGTCATTCATTCATTCATTCATTCATTCTGACTCCGTACATCTGATTTCGACAAGCATTTGACTTGTCTGCTTTTCTTAGCCTGCGACTGTCCACATCTCGCTTCCTGATAGAAGGTGGCTTTCCCTGCTAGTGTGGCTCGACTCCATTGACCTAAGGGACACGGGAGACCCTACCTGTGCTACCGTGGGCAAAGATGTTGCGGTCATGGGAACTCACCAGTTTCTCCTGCGTCTTATCAACAGAAATACGTCGGTTAAAATGGTATTGGAGATGGGCGAGGCGGTGGAAGCGGGGCCGGAAAGGGGGGGGGGGTATATACATTGATCAAAGTTATACACGACAATGTGTGCATGTGTGTGTGTGGGGGGGGGGGGGGGGGTTTGCATATTTGCCTCTACCGCTCGGTATTCTTCGTTCTGTTTTCTTCTTCTTCCTTTGCCCTACTGGTTATTCCCTAAAGTCACAGAGAGAAGTTGCATGTATTTTCTTGTCTTTCTCTAGTTGCTTAGCTTGTATTACGACTTTTTTTGTAATTGTGTTTGCTCCCTCGACCCATCTCTGTCTTGGTCCACCTGTCGACTTGTAGCCCGTTGTTCTCTACAACAAGTGTTTTTGTGAACATTTAAATTGTAATGGGTCTTTCCTTTTGTTGTGTGATTTGTGCGAGGAGTCAGTTGACAGTGACCTACCTAAAACACACGGAAGATATCATTAATATCCAGGGAAGACTCCATTCTGCAGCAATGTTCCAGTAGGGGAGGTAATTCTCTTACAGGACCAGCAGCAGATTCTTTGCCCCAGCCGCAGGACACGGTGCCGCCTCGGGGTCAAGATGACCTGGACCCTCGTGCATCTCGAGATCACCTGGACCCTCATGAATCTCGAGATCACCTGGACCCTCGTCGCTACTTTTGTTCCAGGTACTGCTGCTACAGCTACTGTCGCTACTATTGTTACAGCTAGTGTTACCGTCGCTACTATTGCTACAGGTACTGCTGCTACAGCTACTGTCGCTACTATTGGTACAGCTACTGTTGTTACAGCTACTGCTACTGTCGCTACTTTTGTTACAGGTACTGCTGACCTGGCTACTATCGCTACTATTGTTACAGCTACTGGTGCTACAGCTACTGCTACTGTCGCTACTATTGTTACAGCTACTGATGCTACAGCTACTGCTACTATTGCTACAGCTACTGCTGCTACAGCTACTGTCGCTACTATTGCTACAGCTAATGCTGCTGCAGCTGCTGTCGCTACTATTGCTACAGCTACTGCTGCTACAGCTACTGCTACTGTCTCTACTATTGCCACAGCTACTGCTGCTACAGCTAGTGCTGCTAAAGCTATAAGCAGTGCTACTACTGCTACTGCTGATGTACTGCGGCGTTTACTACTGTTAAAATACTAATTAGTATAGTTACTAATTACTAGTGGCCACAATACTAGACAGTAGACTAAAGGAGTAACTAGACGTTAGACAGGAAGGAATGGTTAGGGCGGGGGCCACACAAATACACAGAGAGACAGAGAGACCGAGAGAGAGAGAGAGAGAGAGAGAGAGAGAGAGAGAGAGAAAGAGAGAGAATTACCATAACGCCCTTACCTACACTACATTGTCTTCGCCAAAAGTATGCTATCACCAGACGCCACCATGGGGGGTCCGCATGTATTCCGTGATTCAGTCAGCTGCCCAATTACCAGCAGCCCGACATCTCTGTCACAAATCGTTATTACACTCCCTCACGTCTGACCTCCAGATGTTAGCTGAAGGAGGTCAGTCATAATTACCCACGAACTCGCCGCACGTTGGTCATTCTTTGCAGGCCCAACATTCTGTGGCTGTTTGCTTCTACTAGTTGCCGGCATCATTCTGACCACATCCGCTACCGAGTGCCGACTGATCTATCAACTAAAGGTCTAGCCCTATGTGCCTAGAAGGCCTGAAGCTGGGAAAAAGTGTCCTTTTGGTTCTACTTGGAATTGTCCGTTCAATGTTTGCCATTACTACACAACGGTCGACTGTTGATACTATTGTCGAAAACAACGCAAAGCGGTCAGTGTGGGAGACAAAAAGTGCCCGTTTTCCATGGAAGAGTGTAGAGCTTTGATCAAACGCTGAACCTTCTGTAGAACTATCAAGAGTGACAGACAACCACTGTCACCTGGATCGCCATCTATGTTTACCAGTACCCAACGTCCCAGCACCCTGTGCATACCTACAGGTGATTACACTCAGTCAGGTGGTATCGCCCACTCAGTCAGGTGGTATCGCCCACTCGGTCAGGTGGTATCGCCCACTCAGTCAGGTGGTATCGCCCACCCAGTAGCTTGTAATGTACGGATCTGCTCCGTCCTCCACCCCCATCGTTCCTTTCAATGAATAGTTCATTTCAAAAAACACAAAACAAGCCGAACCAACACTGCAGGCATTGAACAATTACAACATGAATCAACAACAAGCTAAACAAATATAGATGTCCCCCGTGTGGGTTCCGGGGCCCCATTGTGGGGAAAACAAGAATAGACCCACTGTCCCCCGTGTGGGTTCCGGGGCCCCATTGTGGGGAAAACAAGAATAGACCCACTGTCCCCCGTGTGGGTTCCGGGGCCCCATTGTGGGGAAAACAAGAATAGACCCACTGTCCCCCGTGTGGGTTCCGGGGGCCCCATTGTGGGGAAAACAAGAATAGACCCACTGTCCCCCGTGTGGGTTCCGGGGCCCCATTGTGGGGAAAACAAGAATAGACCCACTGTCCCCCGTGTGGGTTCCGGGGCCCCATTGTGGGGAAAACAAGAATAGACCCACTGTCCCCCGTGTGGGTTCCGGGGCCCCATTGTGGGGAAAACAAGAATAGACCCACTGTCCCCCGTGTGGGTTCCGGGGCCCCATTGTGGGGAAAACAAGAATAGACCCACTGTCCCCCGTGTGGGTTCCGGGCCCCATTGTGGGGAAAACAAGAATAGACCCACTGTCCCCCGTGTGGGTTCCGGGGCCCCATTGTGGGGAAAACAAGAATAGACCCACTGTCCCCCGTGTGGGTTCCGGGGCCCCATTGTGGGGAAAACAAGAATAGACCCACTGTCCCTCGTGTGGGTTCCGGGGGCCCGATTGTGGGGAAAACAAGAATAGACCCACTGTCCCTCGTGTGGGTTCCGTGGCCCCATTGTGGGGAAAACAAGAATAGACCCACTGTCCCTCGTGTGGGTTCCGTGGCCCGATTGTGGGGAAAACAAGAATAGACCCACTGTCCCCCGTGTGGGTTCCGTGGCCCGATTGTGGGGAAAACAAGAATAGACCCACTGCCTTCCCAAAAGCATGTCGTAAGAGTCGACTAATTGGGGAGCTTCCTTTGAAGTCGGAGTGCATCTGCTGGAGAGGCAAGGAACCAACAGTCTGTATTCAAGAGAATGAGATCTGTAGAACTGATGCACACGCAACACTCAGGTTCTGGAGCAGGGCTGCAGTTCAGTAGTGGACGAGCAACCAGAACCTTCCGCCAGAGTTTACAGCTGGTGAGCGCGAAGAAGAAGAAGAAGAAATATAGATGTGACGCAACAACAAGCTAAACAAATAACATGTGGATATGACGCAACAGCAAGCTCAAACATGTGGATATGACGCAACAGCAAGCTCAAACATGTGGATATGACGCAACAGCAAGCTCAAACATGTGGATATGACGCAACAGCAAGCTCAAACATGTGGATATGACGCAACAGCAAGCTCAAACATGTGGATATGACGCAACAGCAAGCTCAAACATGTGGATATGACGCAACAGCAAGCTCAAACATGTGGATATGACGCAACAGCAAGCTCAAACATGTGGATATGACGCAACAAAAAACAACTAAACCAAGTGCAGATATGACGTCACAACAAACGAAATAAAGTGCAGATATGACGTCACAACAAACAAACAAATGCGGATATGACGTGACAACAAACTACACAAATGCGGATATGACGTGACAACAAACTAAACAAATGCAGATATAAAGTTTAAAAGTAGCGCATTTGCCTTGGAAGACTAGACCCCCCCCCCCCCCAACCTCACACTTCCCCCCCCCCCTTTCCACACACACAAACACATCGTACAAGTAGCAGCAAGTGTGGATAATGTCAAGTAAAGTCGAAGATACGACAGTGACAACAGCAATGACAGTACTGATCATGATCATGCTAATATTGATAATGTTGATGCCGATGATGATGATGATGATAACGGTGATGATGATAATGAGGATGCTGCTGCTAATGATGATGGTGATGATGCTAACAATTCAAATCGTAACAGCAATCATTACGGCGTCAAGAACAAAGCAGATGACATGTTATGAAACAAGATACAACCAAAAGGGGAGGGCAAAAGACAGCAACAGGACGGTAGCAGAAGTACAGCCGGACAAGAATGACACAAACAGTGATGAGCGTTGACAGATTCACCTCTAACAAGATACCTGGTCACCGGCGGCACGGTAATTTACCTGCCAGTGCTGGCAAACACGGGAGTCAGCCCAGCCATGCTAAATATGCACCTTTGCCCCCGTGTGTCCATACAGCAGGTCTTCTAATGGCCGCTTCCCACGCTCAACTTCTTGTAATTGTCTGCCTGTCTATGTGTGTGTGTGTGTGTGTGCGTGTGGTTTTTTTTTTAAGGAGGGAGGGGGTGGGAGAAAAAAGGAAATTCTTCTTCTTCTTCTTCTTCTTCTTCTTCTTCTTCTTCTTCTTCTTCTTCTTCTTCCTCTTCTTCTTTGTATTAAATCACAATCGATTCGACCAAAAGTATTTGAAAAAAGCTACGAAAGAAGTCCAGAAATCCACACAGACATAAGTGGGTTGAGAGAAAGAAAGAGATCAGATGTGTAGAGTACACGACCAGTCCGAATGAGTGAGTTGAGAGAAAGAAAGAGATAAGATGTGTAGAGAACACGACCAGTCCGAATGAGTGAGTTGAGAGAAAGAAAGAAAGAGATAAGATGTGTAGAGAACACGACCAGTTCGAATGAGTGAGTTGAGAGAAAGAAAGAGATCAGATGTGTTGAGTACACGACCAGTCCGAATGAGTGGGTTGAGAGAAAGAAAGATATCAGATGTGTTGAGTACACGACCAGTCCGAGAGCGGAACCCGACCCCGACAAGGTTAGTTCATCCCCGACAGAACAGGATCCCTCCTGTTAGATATGCAGCTCCGATACGACTAAACCAAGCCTATCAGAGGACCGAACCATTTCAATAAATGCCATTGCTGCCTACATTAGCCACTTTTGGGTAGTGGGGGCCGAGGGATGGGGGCAAGGTGATGAAGGCGGGTCTTGGGGATGTTGTTGTATGTGAATTGTGTTCCATCAGAAAGATTTACAGACATTAACAGCTGTCCTCATTTCTTGAGCAGAAAACCCGATGGCTCACTTATATCCCCTGGTGCCTTCTTGGGTATGATTCCACCCATTGCCCTTCCCCTCATTAGCGTTGCTGAAGCTGACTAATTAGGAGTGGTTGGATGTGTTGAGCCAAATATGTAGATATTGCTGCCTAGTTGTAAACCACAAAATATTGCTATTTTACGGGCAAAGGCATGAGATGGAGAAGCGTGCAAGTAATATCATACACCGAGAAACTATCATGATATAGAACCCAGGAAGACGATGAACACGATGAATCGGCAAATTGAAATATACAGGGAACACACACAGACGCGATACAACCTAGGTCACATATCTTGGGGCACAGGATTAGGCTCATATCTGTCTTAGGCTGAACGACAAACAGGGATTAGCACCTGAGATATCGTGCACCTGGGTCTGCCCACAATCCATGCCATGCACCCGTTCAGTCAGTAATGGGCACAACGGGCACAGAAGATAGAAACACAAGAATCTGAACATTTAGTCCTTGGCTCTCACTGGCTGTAAACTGAGAAGGAAAAGAAGTTCTGGATGTTCGTCCATTTTTAGTGTTTACCAGTTGTAGAACGTTTTTGTTGTTCACCTCCATTTTACATATATGGTTTATTCGTATGGACATTGGTGATTCGTTGCCTCACTTGGGGATATATCGTCAAGTCTAGGGATGAATTAGGATTTTAGGTCGGCAGTACAAGTTGAGAGGTATCAACTACGGCAAAAGTTTAGGGATACCCAGTCAGGAGAAATTTAGGCGGTATCAAAGGGAGGGGAGGGGGGGGTATGAGATACCAAGTCAGGATAAATTTGGGAGATATCAAGTCGCGAGAACGGGGCTAGGAGTAAAAATGCAGGCATCAAAAATGCGAAACCCTCGTTGTGCCCGACAGTCAGACTCGGAACCTCTAGAAGATCCACCAAGCCACCAAGGAACAAACTCAGAACCTCTAGAAGATCCACCAAGCCACCAAGGAACAAACTCAGAACCTCTAGAAGATCCACCAAGCCACCAAGGAAAAACTCAGAACCTCTAGAAGATCCACCAAGCCACCAAGGAACAAACTCAGAACCTCTAGAAGATCCACCAAGCCACCAAGGAACAATCTCAGAACCTCTAGAAGATTCACCAAGCCACCAAGGAACAAACTCAGAACCTCTAGAAGATCCACCAAGCCACCAAGGAACAAACTCAGAACCTCTAGAAGATCCACCAAGCCACCAAGGAACAAACTCGGAACCTCTAGAAAATCCACCAAGCCACCAAGGAACAAACTCAGAACCTCTAGAAGATCCACCAAGCCACCAAGGAACAAACCGACCTTCCAGTCTATTGATTGTGTTTTTCTCTTGTCCACAGCTGGCCGACGATTGTGGGAAAGTCAGAAGTTGGCTTGATGCCAGCGACCACGCTGCCGGAAACTGGATGAAACTGCTACAGACTAGAGACTACCACAGACAGCGAAACCTGATGGCAGTTCAGCTCGACGAGCAGGTGAGTTGGGCATCCGTCTTTCTATTTTATTTTTTTTTTAAATATCCAGAAACCATGAGTTGTTAACCCTTTGGTTCGGTACTATGGATATCGCAACCGTTCGGCCTTGATTCCATGATAGGTACCCTAAATCTGGGAGAAATGTGGCTGTTCTGCCTACCCCCGGGAGTGAACCCGGACCACAAGGAGTTGTCTTCCGGTCGCCGCGAAGTCAAGTTTAACCAAATAAGCTAGCGAGAAGGGCATCCGTTTCTCTATTGTCCATGTCTATGTTTTTACGTGTTTGTCAGATTCTAGACTTTTGTAGAACACAGAAACCTTTATTTACAACGTGCAGATCTGCTCCGCTTGGTCGTTGTGGATGTCCACAGCCTTGTGTTTCCTGTCCTGTCAACCAGGGGCAGCAACTTGACATTATCAACATC